TTCCTCGCACGGCACAAACATTTGTATTCATGAGTACGATTGTTTGCATCAGTCTGGATGTTTTCTATGTATAATATGTATGGATTTACGAAAAAAATATCTATGTATTTGTATCAGTCATCTAGTACTCATAACATAAGCTTTAGTTAGCTTAACTTGGATCTAGATGGCGCTGTGTGAATTGTCCTGAGATTATTGATTATTGATAATATACCAAAAAATAAACTAATCTGCTAACTTATGGATAGTTTTGTGTACAAGTGTACATTCTTATCTGTTTCTTATTATATCCGTTCGTTGTTGATTTCGCAGATTTCGAGCTAACTTTCGACGTAACTCTTTCAGAAAACACCAACTAACCAACTTGTCGTTTCCCCGTACATGTATACCACTGTGTCATTCTATATTCATAATAATATACAGAATTATCAAAACACCATTACCCTTAAAAAACAACCAGCTTTTTTCACAAAACATAAAAGGCGCGCAAATAATAAACATCTATATATTATATATAAAAAAAAAACACATTGAAACCGGTAAAAATCCTTTCCAAAACGTTTGACAGATGAATTTGACAGGTGTCAATTGGAACGCGCGCAAATGTCATCGCTCTCGACCGGCCAGAGTTATACACAGATACAGAGAAAGCAATCTAAACGTTGGCGGGAAACGCGAAGGAGTTTACACTGTCTCGATGCGACTTACTTGCTCTGTCAAAATTTCTAATCTCCATACACTTTGAAGCGCGAAATAATTTAACTTACGAGACTGATGGAACGGAAGCAGACGGTTCTGCGAAAAAAATCGCACGTGGCACGAAAAAATGTGCTCTATAGGTCGCCAAGAGACGTTATCCCGCGTTATTTTATTTCCAGACGTAACATTTAGTGTGAGTATTTTTAGTTCAACTCTGACGAAAAGGGGACGCGTGGCGCGTATTGTCTCTGAAATCTTGCGAATGCTGTTGGTATGGCTGGCTGTGGTATGTCGCCTATAGTTTTTCTTAAAGTAGATAGGGTTAGGGCTGGCGAAGAGAATGCACGTAAAGTTTTTAGAGGCATAATGTGAGATATAAATAGAATAGATGAGTGAATTGAGAGAAAGGAAAATTATACTAGTGAAACTTTGCTTCCCTATAATCTGTCTGCCGGCTAGCTATATACGTACATGAATAGCATTATGAACACCACTGTACCACCCGCCAAAAACTAAAATACCATCCTGATCACCTGGATTAATGGCGGTCCTCCACAGTGCGGCGGGTGAAACTTTTTGCCACGCACAACCACACCTTCCATCAATGGTATTTCCGAACCGATACGATATTGAAACCTTCAAGAAAAGAGCTTATACCTTTTTAAAAGGCCGACAATGTACTTGCAATTCTTGTGGTGTTGCGGGTGCTCATGGGCGGCGGTAATCACTTACCATCAGGTGAGCCGCATATTCGTTTGTCCCTTGTGATATAAAAAAACTTTTACAATGCTATCCGAGAGTACTAAGATGTCAGGGCTTCCTCATTCTGTAAAATGGTTTTTCAAGAGATCTTTTATATTTATTGTATTGATTACAGGTACATGATTCAAATTCAAAATATCTCTATTCATGTAGGTCTATTACAGACTCTTATGATATGTCAAATCTACCGTCAGTTCGAAATGATTTCGAGATGAGAACAACTGATGAGAACAACTGACAAGAAACTCAGCTTGTATTCTTTTCAAATAAATGTTGTTTTGCTTACAATAATACAGATTCATTTAAATTCAAATTTGAGAGAATAAAGTGACCAGCGCATTATATTTCAAAAGTAAAAAGTTTAATTAGTGTTCATTAATGAACAAGAAAATATCCATCATCATCATCATCATCGCAGCCCGGAAGACGTCCACTGCTGTACATAGGCCTATTATAGGACAGAAAATATTACTGTATGCCAATTCATAGTAATCGCGAACTCTTAGATTCTTTTAGTAATATTGAGAAAAAATCACATTCTTTGTAGAATTGATGGGCGATAGATCACATGAGATATGCCATGAAGGACGAATGTTTGATACATAATCTAAATTTATCTATGACTGGAGTCCCATTTTTTCAGTTACATGCTTATTAATAATATATCTCGGTCGTGTTCATAGATCAAAGTGAAATGTAAATTTAGAAAACATTATCATTACGAGTGGTCTTAGACCCACTTTTTTATGCGTATGGGAAAAGTTCATTGGGCCGTACAAGTTCGATGGAGCGTCCAAAAGAAAGTGCTTGACACACACATGATCAATTGATTAGATTTTCTACTCATAAGATTAACAATAGAGAGAAAGAAATGAAAATGTTAGATCGTAAAATATAATCCAATTAAAACATTCTTTCTCTCATGTCTGAAATCGAGTCTTAGATAACTTCCTCAAACAGCAAAATGGATTACTTTTGAACAAGAAATTAATTCGTAATATGCATAGTACGATGTATAAACTTGGCTCACGTAAGCCATTTTCATGTTCTGCTATTGTTACCCTCTGGATTAAATTACCAAATCATTTTCAGAGCTTCGTGTATCAAAGATTTATGATACATAATATAAATCATTGAAACACGTGCACTTTTAGACGAACGTGTGAGTTGATATAGACGGACTCCCAAGGATAGTCGAGTTTGCTACGCGAGTTCAACAGTAGATACAACGACCTACGCTTATGACGAAGCACAGGTGCGTAGTACTCGCACAAATAAACGACCTACTTCTTATATGTCAACGAACCCGTGCTTTATATAGTTCTGGGATTTCTAGCTTATCTCCAGATATAATTGAAACTATCGAAAGACAATTCTACGACGTGTCGATAAGGTTACCAGAAAATAATTTTTAGCTTCTGATAGTCAGTTATAAAATTTCTTCGAAGATCTTTTTATCACTAAGAAAGGGAAGTTGTTAATAAGTTTTCATATGAATAAGTCATGTATGTACGGGTGTCTAGACATATTGTCTTGTAAAGACAACGGTCTTTATGATCTGTTGTCTATAACAGTCATTTATTCCATATAACAGTATCTAGTATGAAGCATACTAAAAGCGACAAAATAAAAGATCCTCGGAGAGATTTTCGAAGAGAGTCGGCTGTACATTAACGATTTTTGTTATGGTACTAACTTTTGATGTGCCGTTTAGCGGCAACAGCCTCGGTGATTATCGGTTTAGCACACCCCCTTACGCGATGGTCGCGGGTTCGATTCCTCGCAAGGCGCAAGTTTTGTATTCATAAGTAGGTATTTTTATTTGTATCGTGTTAGGTGTTTCCTACGTATGTATGTCCTTTTAAAAAATGTATTAAAGCATCTCTATCAGTTGGATAGTACATATAACAAAAATTCTGTTTAGCTTGGAACGAAATGGAGCTGTGTAAATTGTCTAGGGTTAATGTTATTATTATTACGTCAGAGGTATTGTCTTGCGTTTATGCTATTATTTGGGGTCAGCACAAACTTGAGCAGCAAAATTGCTAGATTTTGTAAGAAGTCGTCTGAATTACTGTCTCGCTACTCTGAACTCTGTCTCTCTCAATTTTGTTGGTAAGCATCCTTCGAAGAAAGCTGCGTTTCGGTGTGAAAGTTAAGATATGGCAGTGAAATTAGAGGTACTTAAGGAGCGCCAACGTTAGACCTCATATATTTACCTCATGTGATTACCACTTTCCATTTGGGGATGTGCTATTTTTTGCCATTGCGTCTCCGTCAAAAAAGGTACTTTTTCTAAGATTTCTAAGATTTTTATAGTGTGAAAATTACCGGAGCTAGCACGAATGAAGCGGTTCGCTATTAGTTCATAATTTAAAGATACAAGTTCTAGACTTCTGTTCGCACAGCAAAACATTAATCTTGCACGTAACTTCGATTATATGGCTTGGTTATCCATATGAAAGGTTCCTCGATATCCAAGGCACTGGAAGATACCAGTTCCCGCAGATTTGTTTCTAGACAATTGTGCTAAACATCCACGGAAACATGCTTGAGCACTAGCAATATTCTAAAATGATGACGCACTGTGGATTAAATTTAAGTATTACAATGGACTCCGAGAGGTCAACGGACAGACACTTTTAAATATTTATACACAGCTTCGACGTTCGCTGTTTTTATCATAGACAAATTGTTTTACTTATTTTACAATATTTCTGTTTAATTATCAGCGTTTATTTTTATAGTCCAACTTGTTTCTGGAGTTTGCGACAAGGCGTGTAAATTATAATGTGTTTTAAATAATAATATACGCTTATTTAATTTCTCTATATTTTTCCCGGAGTAGTTCAGCAAATAGATCGAAGGAACTGGCCAGAAACTCGTGTCACTTATCATTAGACAAAAATACTTATTTACAAGTCCTGTGAATTATATGTTTATTATTAGACATATTCAGCAGCCGTCTGCAATGTCTATGATTTATATGTTCAAAAATAATCATATAGGTGACACGTTTAATGATTCACACGAAGTACCAATGAGGTATATGTATTCTCAGATCGTCTTTTACATGGAAACATTATTAGCAATAAATACAACATGAAACGATATTAATTTAAAAAAATATGTGGTATCCAAGACTTCTTATGCAACGAAGTTGATTTAGAATCTCTTCACAATAAAGGCGATCGCGATTAGCCGTAGCAGTGAGGAACAGAAAGTTCAGGATATTGATGCGTCAAAATCTAAAGTATCTACACAGTAAAATATACGTTCAATACGTCTAATATACAAGTATACGGATATTGGGAATCTAAAATTTCCACAACAAACTAAACAACATCTCATTTAAGTAATCAATCAAACATAACAATTAGAAACAACAAATGTGCATTCAAAAAGAGCCAAAATCTATGGTGTCTATGAATATTGCGTGAATTTTCAACATTATATTTTTTAGTTATCTAATAATAATATATATTAATAATTGAAAATTCAGTAATATTCAAATTAAAAATATAAAAATGATTACTCACCGCTTTTATGTCGTCGAAATCTTTGTGGTCCAACACTCGCCTTCTAGAAGATGGAGTCTCGGGACTTGAATCTTCTGTGGCCTCACTGAAAGTGCTTTCAGTGCTTGTCTCCATGGACTTAACACCGTCTTCAATTAGTGACTTATCTTCTCCATTTTCCTTTTCAGTACGCTTTTTAAGGAAATTCTCATGTTCAAATGTTTTATTTTCAAAGCCTGTACCACTAGGAGAGTCGATATCATTGTCCAATACTAGCCGATCATCTTGCTCAGAGTCGATATATTTAAGTTTTACTTTTGATTTTCTTGGTTCAGCAGGTTGGACATCATTCTTCGATAGTTCTTCATTAATTATATTGTTAATTTCTATCTGCTTCGTAGTTTTCGGCGATGAAGTACCGGTTGCTATTGGTTGAGAGATCTGTATGTAAGAAGCAAAGTTAGATGTGTGTTTTGGCGTCTTTACCTGTTTCTCGATATCATTTTTCAGAGATTCTTTTGTTTTTGGAGTATTAAAATCTGTACCATTCTTTTTCTTTCTTTCAATATGATCTACGTCCCCATTTTCAACTTGTATAACTGTGGACTTTTCTAGAATTTTTCCTATTGGATTATTTGGATCCAATTGACTTTTAATACTGGCTAAACGATCTGGAGGTAGTTTAGTAGTTAATGAAGTTGACATGGAATTATTTTTTTCGACTAATGGCTTAGCTAATGAGACTGGTTCGGATATAGTCTTGCTTATAGAAAGATCTGAGTTGGAATTCGACCTAGAGCTGGAGGAGCCCACCTCCCATCGATTTACGCCATTCTTATCAACATAAGGCAAATGTACAGGCACCGGCTTTTCGTCTTTTAGTAATTTCGTGTAACCGACTGTCCCGTTCTCGCAATCTTTCAACTTATTGAAATAGTGTTCGACTGATGTTTTGTTTGGATATCTAGAGTCGTTTGCCGGCAGTTTCGTTACAGTCATTTTGCTATCGTATATCTTTCTTATATCGGATACAGAAGGCACATCATTGCCGTTGCTGTCTTTGACTCCATTCGTCATAGAGTTTCTTTTACTGTAACTGGATGATGGCGAGCTTTCCTTCATTGATCTTCTGCCTTCGGGTTTCTGGTGTTGTTGAAAATGAATGCTTATTTTTATGGTATCAATAATGGACAAAATTGCGGCCTGTGGTTGTGTGTGTTAGTTTTAGTGGCGTTTACAAGTACATATGCAGCATCACGTATCCACGGAGAAAATATATGAGGAATGTTGATGCTACATAGATTGCATCGCGTCTATGTAACTAATGCATTACATCATTTGAAAGGCAGTTCTCATAGTGAATGCAGTTATTTAGAAGAGGGTCTGCCTCCCAAGCGATAGTACTCTATTTTGAAGCTGAAAACGACCGATGGCTCTTTCTTAGTGCGATGTTAATGTATGTACACACACACGCACACGCACACAATGTTGTGTGTCTGCGAAATTTGTAACATCATACACAACTAGATGGTATAGCTCTAGTTAATTTTTGAAATGTGCACAATTGTGTAACTGTAAAGTATTATCCACTCAGTTTTTCAAACGATGACAATGCCAAGGAAAATATTGGGAAATAATAAGGACAAGGGTCTTTTTAGCATTTCAAAGGTCTACACAATTTTGGTATAGCTGGGTACTGATGTAGATATAAAAATGTTCTATTGGGTTATGATGCTCTACAAATGGACATTCAGAAAGCGCTATGGAAATTTTGTGTCAATAACTAGATAACATTTAATTAATCGACTTATCATTAGAATAGATCGCGATAAGATCCTAATAATTCATCATCAAGGTCGGAAACATGGAACATCCCCATCTTCAGTCCTTTAATTATAAATTTAAGACCCGTTATTCTTCTAGATACGGCCCACTAACCCCGTTTGGTAGATAATGTTATTGTACTCTATAAATAGAATTTCCGCAATAATGTCTAGGCATTCAGCTTTTTCAAGGTCATTAACGTTCCGGTTTGGAGATTACTGGAGATTTGAAATATCCTATTTGAATTTCAATTCCGTTAGACTTTTTACAGACGTTTCTATTGCGAATTTCAATTGATATCATGAGAATCGTCGGCACGTTTCATTATCATGTATTCATCTACTATTGGGAATATTTATTTTTTATTCTGCTTTTTATAATATAATATTGCATATATCCGTCCGTTTGTTATAATTTGTTTTCAAGTCATTTTTTAAGATAATTTCAGCGGTTTATACGAGAGAAGTTAAAAAATAAATAGATCACCACAAAAATTTTAAAAGTATTTTCATACTTGTTTATCTTCTTATCTATGCTTTCGTCTGTATCACATATAGCTAAAATATGTTCATTTTATTGTGTGAAGATAAAGACTATATACTCGTAAGGCTAGTCGAGTTAATAGCAAAACTGGAAACTTGAAATATCCTGTTTGAATTTCAATCCGTTAGACTTTAGAACTTCATTTGATATTATATGAGAATCGTCCGCACGTTTCATTGTCATGTATTAATATTATACTGTGACGTGCAATGGTATTAACTAAATATTGTTTATGACTCAAAAAGATCTCTTCCTCAGCAGAGGTTTTTGATAACACACCCATTTTGCAATTAACACTAGTACAAGTCTTTGCTCTTAGGTAAAAAAATTGGACTATTTCTAAAGGTACATTCAAAAAATTGCATTAAACAAAGTCAAAAAACTGAGGCCCAATTCAGTTTCAAATATCAAAGTTAGTCAAAATTAATGATTTCGCAGACACCCAAGTGAGAATAAACTATACAATTATAAGGAAATACATTCATATTTACCTCAGTTATAGTCGCCGCTGAATTCCTCGCTCTCCTAGATCTAGACGGATCAGCCGCCGGCGGTCTACCGATATCGTTGGATATAGATTTAGATCTAGATATTTCCGCGCTGTTGTTTTGCTGTTGCTCTTTAATTCGTTGCGTCAACGGCACATAATTTGCTGGAGAATACTTATTGTACAACTCGGCCGTCGACATGGCCAATGCAGCTGTGCTGATGACATTCCTCTTGTTCCTCGGTTCGGTGGATGTCTTGCTGCTCTCGCTTCTCGTGGTCGATATATCTCTGGACCTAGATTCGCTTCTTTCAGACCGATATCGAGTTGAGATTCCGCTATCTGAGTCGGTAATACTCGGCGCCCGGGACGTTCTCGAATATTCTACTAGGGACGTTTTTCTTTCTCTTTTCCCGTCCACGTCCGAGTACCTCGATCTGTATTCTGTGGTTTTGTCTCCATATGAGTTTCTGAGCGTGGACGTGACATATGTACCACTACTGCTTCTATAGTAGGGTTTGTCTAAGCTTGACGTTGAAGTTAGCGTGGAGCGATACGAGCCAGAGAGGCTCGTGGAGGCCGAGGTGTACCTCGAGGGGGATACGACAGGCATTCTGATTGATATACTTTAACTAAATATTAATTACCCTATGCGCTGTATCACATAGCTCGCTTAGGTCATATAACTTATCTATATATATGTAACTCTTTTAATTCTGGACGGCGGTCGTTTTCTTTGCATTTTTTATTGTAACTATATCTGAAACAAAGATATACATTATTGAGATTGAGTTTCTTTAACCAGTATTAAACAAGGCAGTTTCAGTCCTTTTTATTTGTTAATCACTTATCTCCCTTACTTCTGTCATACAGGCCTATATTTACGCTAAATTTGAATCCCTTCAGAAAGGTTTATGTATGTAATATAACGTGTGTGAAATCGACGATCGTGAGGTAAGCTCTTTCAATGATTTTCACTTACTGAAAACACGCCTAAAAATCAGGGGCATTTTTTTTCTGTGGATAGAATTATTAGCTTATACAGCTACATACCACCAAGACCGTCCCAAATAATTCTACACACACAGAAAAAAAAATGCCCCTGACTTTTAGGCGTGTTTTCAGTAAGTGAAAATCATTGAAAGAGCTTCCTCGAAGGGAGTCGCTAGTTTTGTACTATTAACTAATAATATTGACGTCAATGAAGTAAAGGATAATTATTAACTAAATAGTAATATGGAACCTTCTACTGTAGGTCATAGTAAAATCAATTTAAAATATCCACCCAAACTGGAGACTGGATGTACATAGATTTTTTAAAAACTTGTTTATTCTTTTCTTTCTGGAGACTTTAACATGATCATGTAAGTGGGAAAGGGGATTGTTAGTAATGTGGATTGATGATCTGATTGCTAGCAATGTACCATGTCAGCTTGACCTCCACGCGACACCCCTGGAAACCATGGTGATGCATTCTTGGTGAATTTATCACGATGTGCTGACCTGACCTCATACTTATCTTATCCTCCACTGGTGCCCCACCAGGGTAAACCGTTAGGGCAGGCGTTATCATACATAAAAAAATCCTTCGACCTACCCTTCTCCAGTAGGAGTCGGCTGTTAACTTTTTTACTTACTACTTAACATTTCATTCTCCCAGCGTCTCTGTGGCCGACCATTTATTTTCTCTTTGTTTATTAGTTCTACCGTTATTGGTCATAAATATCACACAGCACTGTTACTATGTACGCCAATGTGATATTTTGACAATGATAAAATATAATCAGATAATTATTAGCATTATTAGCGACAAGGTCGCAGGCACAGTTGCTAACTGTAGGCCACAGAGTTACACAATGCACAATCTACTTATGTAATATAATGTAATCATTTATTACACAACTGACCAATTTTAATTTATACATATAAATAATAGATAGAGACATGTACACTCGGGCGAAGTCGGTAGCTAGTATCAATATATATTATTCAGCAAGCAGACTCACCACAAGAAGAATGAGGATGTAATGTGAATATTCTTCTTTTAAATAAATATTGTTAATTGTTATATATTTAATATTTTGTGTGAAACCATTCTGCAAAATAGTATATTTGACGACCTCGGTGGTCTAGCGGTCTAGTCTACCGCTTTACGACCGATGGTCGCGAGTTCGATTCCTCGCACGGCACAAACATTTGTATTCATGAGTATGATTGTTTGTATCGGTCTGGGTATTTTCTATGTATAATATGTATGTATTTACGAAAAAAAAAAATATATCTATGTATTTGTATCAGTTGTCTAGGACCCATAACACAAGCTTCAGCTAGCTTAACTTGGGTCTAGATGGCGCTGTGTGAATTGTCCTGAGATTATTATTATTATTATTTACTTGTTTACTTGTAAATAATTAGCTACTTGAGTAACTTAATAAATCGGAGCAAACCACTCCCTACAAGCGTATAAATATATAATAGGTAACATATAACTGCTACCAATATATAAAATTATATAGATAACTAGCTGTACTCCCGAGTTTGTCTGCGTGAAATTTAACTTTACTAATATAAAAGTAGCCTAAGTTCATCCTTATTACATCAGCTACCTGTCAATAAAAGTCCCGTCAGAATCCGTCCAGCCATTTCAGACATTAGCCGGAACAAACAGACAGACAAATATTGTAAAAAAAATATTTATATTCATGTGCATGTAGTAAAAAACGGTTATTTCAATATCACAAACAGACACTCCAACTTTATTAATATGTATAGATAATATAATAATTATAAAAAACATAGATAGTAAGCAAGATATATAGAATAGTTTGCAACATTTGTACTTCAATATATATAATGATAATAATAACAATCTCAGGACAATTCACACAGCGCCATCTAGACCCAAGTTAAGCTAGCGAAAGCTTGTGTTATGGGTACTAGATAACTGATACAAATACATAGATAATTTTTGTTTTCATAAATACATACATATTATACATAGAAAACACCCAGAGTGATACAAACAATCATACTCATGAATACAAATTTTTGTGCCGTGCGAGGAATTGAACCCGCGAATTCCTCGCATGGCATCGGTCGTAAAGTGGTAGTAGTGGTATATTAAATTAATAGTCAGATCCGTCTGTATTCTACGAGATATATGACGATATATGTTGGAACTTACTAAATTAAGATGTGTATGCCACTAGTTATGAAGTTTCACATTTATCATATATTACTTAACCAGTTTTTTAGCTACTTGCAAATAGAGTGTGAAGTGAACAACCATACAATTATTATGTAATGAGGTTCATAATAATAGTAAAATATTCTTTTAAATATAAAAATTTTACCAAAAAATATATGTATCATTTTGATATGAAATTTTTATTTGTTTTGAAATATAGTTCTATTTACTTAAATTATTTTTTTAAGAAAATTTTACTTTGTCATTGGATAAGTGTTTAGAATAAAATAAATTTAATAAAACATTTTCTATAAAATGGAGTTACATTATACAGTTAATATACATTAAATAATATTAGTTTTCCTCAATAATTATATTTTAAATACTGTAGTAAGGTCACAATACAGAATGGAAGGGACATATTACTTAAGGATAATAATGTGTTACATACATTATTATTATTGGAAATTATACTACTGCCAAGTAAAAAAGAACTTAAAAGTCACATTTAAATAGGTATATAATACATTTATGGGTCTCAGGAGATGAATATGAATGACAATGTGATAGATATTGAAAATATTGATTTGGGACACAACCTTGAAGAGTTGAAGACAATCACTATATCTCTGACAAATGAACAGATGATTTTAATCGAGGTGCTGTCACTACACGGCGGGGCGGACGATTTGAGAGTCAAAAACATTGTAAAAAACCAGTTCGCATCTACACAATAAGGCATACAAATCCCAAGTCAAGGTTAACAGAACCTTGTCACTTGCGTACTTTATCGAATTAACAAATTTTCCATATGCGCATGTTTTAGAAGGCGGTAAGTGTCGTGCCACTCAATTCATTGTCAAAGAATGCTAGCGTATTGTAACTTGACACCACCACTGTGGGAAATTGATTCGTAATATCAAGGCCACGGAAAGTACACTGCTTTTTTGTCGCGAGAAAGGCGCAATAAGCACTTTCATACTCACCAGAGCTCGCACAGGCCAATTGACGAATTATATCGCCCAAAATATACCAAAGAAGTATATTTTTAGATCAACATAGCATTCGTTTCTTCGACATAGACATCTAGACTATTAATTTAACTCATTATTAACTTATAACATCACGTGGGAGACGTCGCTTATTTAATAAATCGATAGTTAACTGCAGCTACGACGAAATATAAATTATACTCACAAAATATTAAAATACTGGTAACCAAGTAACTCGAATATCACAATGATTGACTTCTGGCGTTTCGGTTTTATTCTTTCAATTTTGATCACACGCGTCGTACACGGATATCGTCACTTTCGTGTATTAATTAAAAGAAAATGAAGCGTATACGGCAAAATAAAAATTTCTTCTGTCTGTAATTTTAGAAGTCCATAGCTCCATTGCGTGACGTCACTCAAATTGTTGGCAATCCTATTTTTGTGCCACTTCCTTCACAAACGATAAAATGTCATAATAACGTGGAATTTTTGATGAAAATAATCTCTCCCGCTTGAGAATAAAGTTTATATTTGATATTCAAGGAAGTACAAACTTTGTGATTCAATTTTTGGTGACAGTGTTGCCAATGTACAAAACTTTTTTGTTAATTATTTTTGTTTCACTTTAATATAAATCACTACCTGATAGACCATAATATTCCTGATTATTAATACAACATAAAATATTTAAAAAAAATTAAATGGATTAGAAAGAAAGTGTTTGTTTTTGTTTTAAATAGCTCACAACTTTATAAAACTATTCACATATAGATGGCACTGTAATCATGACTCCAATAACATCCCAGTTTGAGAGTAACTAACAAGTAATTCTACTCAATGAAAGATGTCGCTACGGTACATTTAAAATGAATGTAATACGATTTGAACTCTATGGAGATCATTTCGTATTACATTAGAGCTACAAATTTCATTTCAAAACGCCGAAATTTTTTTGATAAACAATACTACCTACCGATCAGTTCATTTATGTTACCTGCACTTCAATTAGTAGATACACTATCTTAAGGCATACAGTCATCACCTTAACTAATTCGACTAGAGCCTGATGTCATAAATCATTAAAATTTTGTAGAAGACGATTCTATAGCATTTCCGGATTTAAAAAATGTAAAACTCTATATTTTTTGTAATAAAAAAACATGTTGCAGGAGGTTTTCATACCTACCTGTTTTTTTAAGCAACAAATCAGCACCGACATGACGTCGTTACGGTGCCCATGTTTTTTTTAAATATAACCGGATATTAATTTCCACGTTGGCTGCTACTTTATTTATCTATACACATTTTTTTTATTATATTACAGGATATATGGAATACAATAAAACAAAGTAACAAAATAATTCTAGGGACTATATTTTTTATTATTTTTTTTTAGTTCGGTTTTTCCCTTTCTAGGGAAAGGCAAAAGAACTCAGCCCATACAGCCACTATATTTTTTTATTTCAAATTCTAAATATGTATCTTTATTCATGTAAGTCTATTATAGAATCTTATGTCAAATCTACCGTCAGTTCGGAATGATTTCGAGATGAGAACTGACAAGAAACTCAGCTCGTATTCTTTTCAAATAAATGTTGTAGGTATCTACATGTTTACAATAATACAGATTTATTTATAAATTTAAATTTGGGAGATGTTAACTACAAGGATTATTTCTATATTTTCACTTTTCTATTTTGCACATATCTACCTATAGATAGTTTTAACATTTAGGTATAACTTATTGCTATTTTATTTTTTAGCCGATAATTTTGTGGCGGCAATAGTTACTACCAGTGGCTTAGCTACCTAGGAGCGGGCGGGACAGCGCCCCGGGGCTGCCAAGCTCAGGGGGTCCTCGAACTCTCACCAGAAAATCTCGATCGAACAGAACGTTTGAAAATTTCTCTCATTTTCAAAATAAATATGACAGATTGCAACCCAACTGTAATCATGGCAACTCAGTTGAGAGAAATTCGAAAGTTATACCTTCGGAATTCCCCTAATTTTTTTCTGTGGGTTGGCAGTGTTGTCAGTTTCACGGATAGCGTTATGTGCGTTTTAATAAAAACTTTTTTGTTTTGTCCCAGGGCCCTTGGTTACCCTACTACACCACTGGTTATTGGTGACTGGGACGCTCATGCGTTGTGGAGAATCCCGAAGGACTTAGATGTCTCCACCAACCAGAAGACAGCTATCAAAGTAAGCAGCTTGGCTACAGAAATGGGTGAAGCGGATGTAACTATAGGAACGATTTTTTATGGATGATAATGGAATGGTGCACCCGCCTGCGCTAACGGTTTACGCTGGCGGGGCACCAGTGGAGGATGATAAGATGAGCATGAGGTCAGGTCAGTTAGCCCATCGTGATAAATTTAGGTGGAATTTATAACGATGATTTCCAGGGGAACCGCGTGGAGGTCAACCTGATATGGTACATTGTTAGCTATATGATCATTAGTCCATATTGCTAACAATCGCCTTCCTTCCTACAGAGACGATTTATAGGTACAAAGTACCTATGCAAAGTCTAGCTTTGGTACTTTCTGGTAGGTACCTACCACAGACTGTACAGTCTGGTTGTAATTCCTCGTGAATTCCTAACTATTGGTGAAGAATCTGATTTCATATTTTTTTTTATTCTTCAGTATAAAATAAATATATAGGCCTAGTACATTATAGGAGACAGAATCATTATTCTTTTATAAGTTTTTTTTAATGGAATGATTTATGATTGACGACCTCGGTGGTCTAGAAACGCGAATGTTGAGGTGGATGTGTGGTGTGACAAGAATGGATAAGATAAAGAATGAATACATCAGAGGAAGTATGAAAGTGGCACCGGTGTCAGAGAGGTTGAAGAGTAATCGTCTATCATGGTATGGACATTTAATGCGTAGGAATGAGGATAATATTTTAAGGAAGGTGTTACATATGAATGTGGATGGTTATAAGGGCAGAGGAAGGCCGAAATAGAGATGGATGGACTGTGTGAAAGATGATATGGTAAAGGGAGTAAATAACGAGATGAGAAAAACATATTACGACGACAAATAAATGGGATAAGGAAGAAGCTGATGATGATGACCTCGGTGGTCTAGCGTTTTAGCACACCGCTTTACATCCGATGGTCGCGGGTTCGATTCCTATCACGGTACAAACATTTGTATTCGTGAGTATGATTGTTTGTATCAGTCTGGGTATTTTCTACTTATGATATGAATGTATTTACGGAAAAAAAATATGTATTTGTATCAGTTATCTAGTACCCATAACATAACCTTTAGCTAATTTAACTTGGGACTAGATGGCGCTGTGTGAATTGTCCTGAGATTATTATTATTATTATTATGATGACGGAACGGAGGAAGATAAGACAGCATCAGATTATTTATCAATCAGCCATAAGTACTCTCGGAGTTAAAAGCCAGCCATCCCCAGCATTGACTGGTTTCCCCAGTGGTAAGGGAGCCCGTTTGCATATCGACCTAATCTGGGTCCCAGCATGAGGGCTGATGCAAATGCCGCCCTGTGGCTAATGTGCCAGGATTTTTTATAATGATGATTTCCAGAGTGAGCCGCGTGGAGGTTAATTTCAAATTCAAAATATCATTGATCATGTAGGTATTACAGACGTATGTAGCTATTACATACTTTCAATTTTCAATTTATTTCAATTTATTTATTCATGAACAATGTACATTGTATTTGAATGTTGATACGATGGTTGATAAAATTAATAAATTTACATGTTGTCATTTACAGAATGTCATTAATAACAAAAAAAAAAAAAACATCAAAAATCGTCAACTGAGTACAGGCATTTGTCTATTAGTAGTGACTTCAATTTTTTTGTAAAGCAACTCAAACTATTCAATAATTTAAGATCCTTCGGTAACTTATTATAGAGTATCACCGCTTGATTTCTTGGGCAGTGTGTTACTACGTTTAGTGTAGGAATTATTACCTTCTGTATATTCATTCTCCTTGTTATTAAACGTTGTTTCATGTTCTCTTCAGATTCATACAGATGTTTGTTTGCGATTAAGTCTGTCAACAAAACCTGTATATAAAGACTGGGTACTGTAAGAATTTTTAGTCTTCTAAAATACTCTTATGATATGTGAAATTTACCGTCAGTTCGGATTCATATCGAGATGAGAAGAACTGACAAGAAACTCAGCTCGTATTCTTTTCAAATAAATGTTATACATGTTTACAATAATACAGATTCATTATTAAATTCAAATTTGGAATTTACTAATTGACATTTGACATTGACAAGTACCAGCAATGGGGTTATTAATCTACATTAATGAATAATTACTTTTACTCTGTAATATGTATTAGGTAGTGTAAGATTATAGCCTTGTGTCATGTCACGTACGTTGATAATGTCATTCTACAAGAATAGACGCTGTCAGTCTCCAGTCAATCACGCCGTCAGTATATCTGTCGTGAATAAGGGCAGAAAAGCTGTATGGGCTGAGTCCTTTTGCCTTTCACTGAAAAGGGAAAAATCGAACCAAAACAAAATAGTGCAGTAATTGGAAGTTTTGCGTGACTTCACCTTGAGGTGTTGAAGGCAAGTGATGTTTGTTATATTTTAATTATTAAATAATAAATTATCTAAGTAATCGTTGTTTCATTTCTGAGATGAGATAATTGAGTCTCAGTAGTAAGTGGATTATCTTATTGTGCACATAAATAGTTCTTCTATATGCACAATAGGTTATTTTTTTTTATTGGCGAAGGTACCAATAAAAAAAAATCTTTGTTGTGCACATAGAAGAACTATAATAAGAAAAAACAGTAAATAGGACAATAATAATCACTACGACTGATTTACTCTTATTAGTTACTCAACTAATTGGTTGTATATTTAATATTTTCTCTATTTGAGTATTTAATTGAGTTAATACTAGTTGATAGTTTGTATTATTGGTCAGTCAATACAATAGAATACAATACAATACAGGTACAATAATCTATACATCTAAATGAAATTGGAGTGTCTGTTTGTAATATTGAAATAATCGTTTTTTACTACATGCATATGAATATAAATACGCTACATACACCAAAAATACAATTTTTGTCTGTCTATATGTTTGTTCTGGCTAATCTCTGAAATGGCTGGACCGGCTTTGTCGGGACTTTTATTGGCAGGTAGCTGATGTAATACGGAGTAACTTAGGCTTCTTTAATTTTATAAAAATTTAGTTAAATTCCACGCGAACGAAGTCGCGGGTACAACTAGTCTTAAACATGTACTCTCCCATTTGGAAATATTACTAAATTGTATAGCTACTGCTAGTAGATAGAATTACTTACAGAATGTTATATTATAAAAAAAAACTGAACACAGTTCGCAATCAGTTTAAAATACCAGGTGCAATATGGGTT